ATATATTATATATATATATTATATATACACAATATATATATAAGTTATGCATGTTATGCATGAAACAAATTATTGTGGACCGCAATTGGATAGTTGAAAGAAAAGGTTTATTTATCATTATTGTGGTATAGAATACAAACTAAATATATTATATATATATATTATATATACACAATATATATATAAATTTGTATTGTTATGCATGAAACAAATTATTGTGGACCGCAATTGGATAGTTGAAAGAAAAGGTTTATTTATCATTATTGTGGTATAGAAAATGTACATTACAAACTAATTTTATAATTTTCGGTTTTAAATAATGTTAAAAATCTCTGAACACTGTAAATGATGGCACTTGTTGAAACTGACTTTTAGTATTTTAAACTTGATGAAATACATTAGGAAAAGAAGAAACTTGCAATATCAATATATATATATGCTCTATGTGCAGTTTATATATAGTCAATGCAACACGCTTTATGCCTCGGAGATATTATTTGATTGGTAAATATATATCTCACTAATATTCATTAGATCATAAACCATTAAAAGTCGAATGTATTTATACTACATATATATGTAGTATATAAAGTTGATATATATATATATATATTACATAAGTTAATAATTTATATTTTGTATACAGTATTACCAGATTATATTCGTGGAAAATTTCATAATGGTTTTCCTGATGATTGGGAAAATGTTTATCAAATATGGAGAACATATGTTAGCCAAGGATGTCGAGTGACATTTCGTTGGCCTACTCGTATTACTGATAGCGATGATGATTTAAAGAGTGAATTAACAGAATTGACTTGTATACGCACGACAAATAATAAGACTATTCCTATGGAAATTAATGAATCGATTGAATATATTAAGTCCGATAGTCCAAGTGACAAATCTTCAAAAAATGAGAAAAAATATCATAATTGTTCCACTCATAGTTTTCAAAGATATGAGGAAAACACTTCATTTGTAAAACCTTTTACCTCCAACTTTGAAAAAGATATAATTTCAATTGCGCAAACAAGAAACATAATGTCAGTACATAATGAAGATAACGAGCAAAATATTAAATCGAATGTAAATCCAGTGGTTAGTTCCAAAGGAATGAATAAATTAAAAGATATTATCCACGAGGATAAACTACATATAATAATCAACAATTTGGCAGACAGAAATTGTTCTCCAAAATATATCGATAAAATTATTGAGATGTTTGAGTGCTTGGACTACATAGTATCTTACAAAGCGAAATCGGAATGTACTGATGACTCTGCGGTTTTCGTAAATTATGGGATGTCGTCCAAGCCCGAAACGATTCCGCTGCAATCATCACTCTCGTGCAACAATAGTTGTACGAATACTAATAAGTTTGGGAACGGTATAATGGAACAATCGAAAAATTATATGCATCCCACTGACTTGAGATATGGAAATATAAAAGATGATTCTAATTCTGCTCAATTATCGAACCCAATGAATATTAAGCCGGAGCACTATAATAACAACGATTCGGATGAATCAGAGAGCGAGACTTATACGGGTGTACCCAAAATATCGAAGATTGAACGAGTCTTACATGCCAGAAAAGCATCCAGAAAAATATACAATCATAAAGTAAGGAAGAAACGGGAAAATCCACAATATAACACCAAAAGAATCTAGAACGATATCGAACGAATTTTTTTATACTGACTGTATCACGAAAATTTCATAGTGACTGTACACAAAAATTATTCATGAAAATAAAGACTGTAATTCTACAGTACAAATTTTTTCTTTTATCTCATAAATTATTAATTTAATATTTCAAAAGGCTGAAAGTGCTTTATGTATGTGTGCATAATGTTAAATTCATGAGAATCTCGAAATGTATTAGATTTATTAACTTTTGATATAATTAATTTGTCTAGTTCCTATTTAAGTAAGTTTATAAATTACAACTTGAACTTTTATTACAGACTACATTTGAGGATTTTCAAATAGATGAGCGATTCAAGAAACTGGAACGCTCTATGAAACTGGCTGTGCTGAGAAAGGCACACAGTGACAACGGAAAGGTGTTGCCTATTGCGAAAAGCCAGCCCAGCATCTCCAGCACCAATCTGGATAGTTTAGATTCTAGTTGCAGGATTCCATCATTGCAAACTTCTATGGTTCAGAGCGAGGTCTTGGCCTCCAGTAATAATCTAAGAAACTTACTCTTGAGAAAGAAGAATTATAAAACCAACCAAGAAATAATGGCCTCATCTAGTATTAAACAGCACAACATCAAACAGGATAATCATTTGAATGATAGATATGTTATGCCACCTCCAATGAGGAACACAGTTTATTGTACTTCTAAAAAAACACAAGGCAACATCTCTACATTGTCAAATTACGAAACAGCAGCATCAAATTTCCTTAATAGGCCTGTTCAGTCTTCCACAATGAATACTTCATCTTTAAACAGTGCTGCTAGTTATGTATCCACTAATAGAAATACTAACAAAGAATACTTGCATTCTCTTGCTGCACCAATGACACCTACTAATAATCTTCAGAGAATTGACAGAATATTTTCAAAATGGAAAGTTATGCTGAATAACCATTATGAATTAATAATTAAAGGAACATTAGAATGGTAAATATATAATATAAATTTTAGTAATTTAAGCATTAAGATTTTTTTCAATTTAACATGTATTTTTTTTTAATAGTGGAAGAGTTGCACATAGCAAACCGGTCATCAGAAGATACTCTGCAACATGTGTAGAGTCTAAATATAAAAATATATATAGCCTTCAAGGAAATATTGTTGATGAAACAAATGGTAATTGTATAAAGTTTTTTTAAATATATATACATACATATATATGTAGTATATAAAGTTGATATATATATATATATATTACATAAGTTAATAATTTATATTTTGTATACAGTATTACCAGATTATATTCGTGGAAAATTTCATAATGGTTTTCCTGATGATTGGGAAAATGTTTATCAAATATGGAGAACATATGTTAGCCAAGGATGTCGAGTGACATTTCGTTGGCCTACTCGTATTACTGATAGCGATGATGATTTAAAGAGTGAATTAACAGAATTGACTTGTATACGCACGACAAATAATAAGACTATTCCTATGGAAATTAATGAATCGATTGAATATATTAAGTCCGATAGTCCAAGTGACAAATCTTCAAAAAATGAGAAAAAATATCATAATTGTTCCACTCATAGTTTTCAAAGATATGAGGAAAACACTTCATTTGTAAAACCTTTTACCTCCAACTTTGAAAAAGATATAATTTCAATTGCGCAAACAAGAAACATAATGTCAGTACATAATGAAGATAACGAGCAAAATATTAAATCGAATGTAAATCCAGTGGTTAGTTCCAAAGGAATGAATAAATTAAAAGATATTATCCACGAGGATAAACTACATATAATAATCAACAATTTGGCAGACAGAAATTGTTCTCCAAAATATATCGATAAAATTATTGAGATGTTTGAGTGCTTGGACTACATAGTATCTTACAAAGCGAAATCGGAATGTACTGATGACTCTGCGGTTTTCGTAAATTATGGGATGTCGTCCAAGCCCGAAACGATTCCGCTGCAATCATCACTCTCGTGCAACAATAGTTGTACGAATACTAATAAGTTTGGGAACGGTATAATGGAACAATCGAAAAATTATATGCATCCCACTGACTTGAGATATGGAAATATAAAAGATGATTCTAATTCTGCTCAATTATCGAACCCAATGAATATTAAGCCGGAGCACTATAATAACAACGATTCGGATGAATCAGAGAGCGAGACTTATACGGGTGTACCCAAAATATCGAAGATTGAACGAGTCTTACATGCCAGAAAAGCATCCAGAAAAATATACAATCATAAAGTAAGGAAGAAACGGGAAAATCCACAATATAACACCAAAAGAATCGAGAACGAATCTGAATGTGCTCACGCGGCGATTTCAATCGCTAACAATAATAAGAGTTCATTTTCTGAATCTGCTATTAGTATCACAAAAGATGAAGTAAAAACAATAAATATGAGAAAATGTGATGAAATAATAAATAATGCCCAAAGATCACGAGAAGACACTTTTTGTAGTCATCCGCGGAGGAATAATTTCGATGTGTATGGTGCAAACAAACCTGCAATGCAAACTGAACAACCACCCGATGCTTTTGAAGCACAGAGAGTTAACCTGAATGTTCTTGCAAAGGAACAGAAAGTTTCGCACAAAATTCAAGAAAATGCATATTCGCAATTTGTTGCAGATACCAATTACGCTACCAATTCTAACAATGATGTTAAGATTATAAGCATAAATATGCAGAAAAGAGACGGAAATATGATAGCATCACACTCTAATCTGAAACAAGACATTGTGATTAGTAGCGAGAGTGACTTCCCTGAAAAGCCTCTTGTCTTGCGAGAATCACGTAGAGAATTTATCGAACAACCAAAAAGCGAAACCGCGACGAAGAGATCCAAACCTAGCATAATCAGTTCTATACCAGTAAACTTGAAGTTAAAGATAAAAAAAGCAGATTCCAAGCCAGAACAGTTACAAGCTTCGGATGTGAGTATTATAGAAATCGAGGAGGGCAAACAATACACCAATATTCAGCCATTGGAACAAGTTCAAAAGAAGAAATCCGTATCGAAAATGTCAACCGTTACAACAGAAGCAACCATCGCAAATGATTCTTATTCGACAACGGCAGCCAATGATAAAAAGAAAATTTTCCCAACAACGAATAAGGATATAAATCCCACTAATTTGACGAATCCAACAATTGAACAACGTAAAAGAAATAAGCTTGAAATTGAAAATAATCCCAAAGTGCTGTGCGCATGGATGCCGAAAGTAATGTATTATGCGAAATCGAAATTTCAATTAGGCTTGACCTTTGAAGGAAATTTGCTCAAGTGAGTGTTCTTAAATTTAATTAATTTTGTTAATAATTATATGACAATATGAAATTATATTTCTTTTATTTATAGTGAAGCTGGTCATGTTGTGCATAGAAAATTTACGACGGATATTGTGTTGAAACGACTATCGGCTACACTGATCGAAACAGTGAATCACGAATTCTATAAGCTTTTCGGACACTTGAAGGATAATAAGCACGGTAGAGTATCCAAAATTTGGTAACAATAATACGCATACCACAAATATTTATTAACTTTAGTCATTTTTCCTTTGCATTATTTAGTTATTCCTAAGAAACTTGCAAAACAATGTCGTAACGGATGTCCTGCAAATATCGAAAAATTTTGTCTGGCTTGGAAAAGTTTGCAAAACTGTATGTGATGCAATTTCTCAATATATTTTTTAAATTTTTTATGAATATGTTAAGATTACACGTCTTCTCTATGAAAAAATTTGTTCCTTAGGTCAAATACAAACAATGAGTGAGAAACCTCATGATACATCCATGAACTCATTGAATACATCTGTTAGTTTGAGAGGTCGTAGAATCGTACCTCCCTTATCTTATTGGACAGGTAAGAAGGGAAGAGAGGGGGGGAGGGAAAGAATAAATAAATAATAAAAATACAATTTAGAAATAGAATAGATCGATTTTTTTACTAAATAAAAAAATAGATAACTTTTCATTTAAAGGTATTTTATAATGTTATTTTTTTTCTTTTCTAAACAGGTGAACGCATAACTTTAAAAGATAACAATTTAGTTTATGACCCGGGCAATTCACAGGAATCATCATTATATTCACTAATTGATTCTTCAAAATTGGTAAATTGTAATATAATTACAAAAAAAATGTCTCAATGATTTCTTATAACATTTGCTAAAAATGTACATTTTTTATATTATGTGAAATATAGAGTAGTGAAAAAACGAAAAAACAGAAAGTAAATTTCAAGAACACATCAGAAGAGCAAAAACAGTTGTTCAAATCGAATGAGATTCCTGGTACAAATAAAAATCAAGTAAGTTCGATTATATATCATATTTCTCTCTCTCTCTCTCTACTAAATATAAATTATTAACGAAAAATGTATGGTTTACTTTTAATTTAGACGATCATTATTAAAAAAACTCCATCTTCTAACAAGTCCCCTATGACTAAAGCTGCGAATAGCACAAAGAGATCGGAAAAATCGAATAAATCTCGGAAATCCCGGATTAATGGTAAACGACATATAAAACAAAGTTTGACGTTCTCATCGACCGACTCTAGTGAAGAAGAGCAAAACGTATTTCCGTTAAAGGTAATGTTAAAATTGATTTATAAGCAAAAATGGAGTTTTCGTCATATGTTCTTCTTTTTTATTACATATTTTTTGGAGAGATTATGTATGATTTTTTTTTTATACAGCGTATGCGCACTCGACCAAGCACAAAAAGAGAAGCGCCGTCGCAATATACGATGACATTGAGGAAACGGCGTAAGATAGAGGCATCCCCGAATTCGACCAAACCCCAGTGATTTTCATATTTTTATTTAATGCTTTTTTTATTTAGAGATGCAAAATTGCATCACCCGGTTTATATTACTATGTATTTTATTTTAGAAATTCACCAACAAAGAAAACAAGACACAACATGACATATACTTATTATAAGGATATTTTACCGGCAGAAGATTTTCTATCAGAAGTAACATCTATGTAACCTCAATAATTTTTTTCAATATTTTTATGCTACATAATCACGTGTGATATTAAGTGCACAAAAATACGCGCAGAAATTTTATATTCCAAGAGATTTTTCTTCTATATATCTCTCGCTACATATGTATTTTTTTTCTATATATTTTTTTATATGTTATTTATATCTTGTAAATTGAAAACAGAAAAATTGCAAAATATAATAAAATAGAATATACAAAAACCTTAAAATCGTCCTTGCGATTTTTGTGCGTTTACGACAGTATACAAAACAGAAAGTCATTATTTATTAATAAAAAAATATGATAATATTGAAGAAATATTCTTGCGCAAAACTTGCTGCGATTATTTTTGTAATTTAAAAGGAGGAAATAAAGAAGGATTATAAATATATATATATATATATACTTATAGATATAAAAACACGGACTTTTTTTTTATATTGCTTTTGTGTTTAATGTTACCATTTAACAAATATATAAATTGTATGTACGAAATACCCTCTGCGCTCTAAGCACACAAACTTCTATATATAATATATTATATATATATATATATATATATATATATATATATATATATATATATATATATATATATATATACACATATATACATACTATATATTCTGTATATTATATAAAAGTCTCTGCAGCTTTAAGAGTCTAATCATATAAGAAATATAATTTATTGGTGCATATTCAAATAAAAATTACACAAAAATAAAATAGTCACTTGTTTCTATTTTACACGAATAACCATGTAATATATAGACTTTCATATATTTTACACAAGGAAATATGTATTCGTAACAACCAGACACTTAATATTAAATGGATAGGCTATTTAGCGGTTTCAAGCAAATATGTGATATTTTTTTTAATTTTCTTGATATATGATATATAAAAAAAAAAAAAGATTATTTGAATATATATAATGCACTCGTATTTAAGAGATGCAGCTCTATCGCTGCTGACATGATAAGTAATTCGATTCTCTTAATCAATTAGTTTCTCCTACATGTGTGTATCAACGGCATCAATAATGTATTTTTTAGTATGCTCGGTTTCGAAGCGTTTTCCAATACTATTTTATAAGTATAAGATGCCCTTAGAAAATTATTACAACATTAATTCATAATTGCATAATTTCGTATTCAATATCTGTTCTATTGTGTAACTGATGAAGAATTTACTATGCTTATATCATATGCATATCGGCATTGATTAAGTTTAATGCGAGCAATCAATGTCCTGTCATCTAACGATAAAATAGATGCCAAAATCGTCAATGCATTTGCCGTTTAATGCACAATGTAAATATATATTATATTTACATCATGGTTTAATATTAATTATGTGTGTGTGATATGACATAACTAATAAATATAATCAACTATATGCACAAGATGACGACGACCCCGTTAGCTTTCATCATATAGGGGAGTACCGTCTCCGCTGAGGGACATACTTCGTGGACTAGAATTTGTATGTGGGGTACCTCGCGGGGATTTATATGAAGGAGTTCGCGTAGATGAAGGTCTGCTCCTTCCGGAGGGTGTTGTTCTGCCAACCGATTCCTCGTAGCTACGTGGGGTCTTCCTGGATTCCTCGTATCTGGGTGTTGATCCACTAAAAGTACATTTAATCATTAATGAGTTAGTTGAATAAGGAGCTTATCAATCCAGCAAAACTCTTTACACATATCCACAGGGTTTCTACTCAAATCTTGTAAAAAAATTCCCTAAAAATTCTCTGATCTTCCTGGTATTTTGAATTCAAAATTCCAGATAAAAAGAAAATTTTAAAGATTTTCTGTGCAATTTTCTAAAATAAAATTTTTTAATGTATGCTTTTTCTAATCCTTTTTTCATGTTTTTTCAAAGAGTATGCACTCTGACATCTCAAGTAGGAAATCAATTGAATATACAAGTTTGTATTGCACGTTTTATTTAATATTATGCAGTAGGTAGATAGTTTCCAGCATCTTCCACAAGTTTCGCCAGATAACAAAACAAAGAAAATAACGTTATGTACTCACGAGACTCGAGGATTACTTTTTAGACGTGCCCACGCTTCGGCCGCTTTCTTCCAGTCTGTTGGATCACCGGAGGGAGTGGATAAGGGTGGCGTAGGTCTGTGCGATTGAGCGGATCTGTGATGACCGGGTGTCATCGAAGGTGGTGGCGGATGCACGAAGGGTCCCTGATGATGGCTTGGCGTTTGTTGGCCGTATCTGGGAGTAGGCTGGCCATGATGCGGTGTGTGATGAGGCGTTTGGTATGGGGTCATGAATGGGGTTTGGCCGGACGGCGTGTATGGTGTATTCGGATACGTGTGCACTCCGCCGTAACCGGCGGCGCCGGCCGTCCCCGGGGTATGTGGCGGATAATGATGCGGTGTCTGATTCGCCACTTGCGACAGCGAATGCAGCATGTGATGTGGAAGATTCTGCGCGACTCGTTGGATTGCTTCTTGATTCATTCCTGTATCGATCAAAATGGCAATGTACAGAACCATTCATAGATAATCTCAATCATCTCGTTGGATAAAGTTCTCGGCAAAATAGCTAATAATGCAGAATAAGATGACAGATGTTTTGTTTCGTAGTATAGTTTGCATAATTTGTTTGTCTGTGTAATGTTAATATATTCACTGTAGTATGTGTGTGTGTGTAGAGAGAGAATGGAATGTAAAATATATTTCAAAATATATAATCTAACATTTTATTTTAAAGTTACAATTTATGGTAATAATATAGACTTACCGCTAACTGCTCCCGGTGTAGCAGTGTAAGGTGTTCTAGAAGTCATCGCACCGCGTGGTGTACTGGGAGTGGATTGCCCAGGGACCGGATCTCTGAAATGTTCCTTGAACCAGCGCAACAAGTCGCTCACCCTACCAAACATCTGTCCGCGAAATTTGAAGCCCTCGGACGTCACTGTGACGTATTCATGGCGACAACGAGTGCGTGGCAAATACGAGAGCAGAAACTTTCCAGGATAGGTCTGTTAAAAGAGAAGAAAAAAAACATTTATATTAGATTTTTTTTTTTAACATTACGCAATGTTAAAAATTCGTTATGCGTTTATTTACCCTAGCTGCCGATACTATGTAGGGAATCCCACCAGGGTTCTCCTTCTTTTGTTCCTTCAATACCTCCTCCGCTTTGTCTTTGATTCCCTCCACGGTTGGCTTATAATACTTAAAATCTAGCAATTCGGAAGCATAAGCAGCCATAGGATTAACGTGTCGAGCAATAATCTCATCCAAATCCTCGAACTCCTCATTACCAATCCAAAGACTTTGTCCCAATGAAAAAGCGTTTTCTTTGCCCTCCTCGCGAACGTCAATGTGTTGCAGGATATCATCGGTAACCTTCCAAGTGACTGTCAAGTGATCAGCACCCTTACTACTCGGTCTCACTATCGCTTCGCCTTGTTTCATCGTCTGCATCAGTTTCACGGTCTCGGCGAAACTAATGTTATGGAAAGACGGATGGACAATCACGCGTTTCACGTAAATTTGTCGTTGCTTCGCTTTCTTCGCATCTTCCTCCACCTTCATGTCCTTCTGCTCAGTCTCAGTATCGTAAAATGGATCCCGTTGCGGTCTGCAAATGTAATTACGATTTCATATAATCACTGATTTATTACATTGGTGATATTACATGATTTATTACATTGAGATTAGAAATGTACTAAAAAAAAAATGGCTACATTATAAAAGTTATGTTAAAGAAGTATTTTAGATTGGCATATTGTTTTACAATGCATGTGGATTTCCTATTTTAATATAATAATTTTAAAAACAGTAGAGAGAGATTTATATAAAAACTATCTGACTATATACTATATTTACTTGCATAATCTGCTTACCTCCATTCATGGTTTTTGTCAGATAGGTCGCTACTTTTGCTGGTGCACTCGACGCTGAATCGATCCACTTCGATTTTAATAATACGGCAATGGATGATTTGCCCCATACCGACTCTTTCGCAGGGATTTGCGACGTGTCGATCGGATAAGTTTTTGATATGGATATAGCCAGATATACCATTGTCCAGCCGCAGTCTCACGCCGACGGCCTTACCTGGACAGGCTCCGGCATCAAAGTGATTCCATACCTCTGACAATTCGGGAAAATCGTTTTTTAAGCAGAACGGACACTGCCACAGGCAAGTTTCTTCGTTTCGCACTGGATTTGCCTGATCGAGTTGATCACCCTGCGGTTTCCGGTGACTGATACCGACCACTGTGGCCAGCACTAGCTTACCGACGTAGAAAGTCTCAGGTGTCTCCTTCGTCAGAACGTCGAATAGCTTCTCCGCGCTTGGCGATTGATACGATACACGGAGATCCTTATAGCGGCTATTCAATTCGGCCCTGATATCGTACAGAGTGACACACTTGTTGCCGAAACCCTGCCGCTCAAGCTCCTCCGCGAAAGCGTCGAGATCCAAGTCCTTCAGACGCTCCGGTGATTCAAGTATCTCTTCAAGAGCACCGGCGGGATTAGCGTCTTCATCGTCATATTCTAATGCGTCAACTGCCATTTTTCTAGCCCACTCATAAGTCTCGGGATGCACGCGCGAGCCATCAAGCACTTCTACGTACGCCTCGGTACTGTCGCCCAGGCTGTTGGTGTCAATCTTGATGAAGCCGGCACAATTGATAAACACTTTCGGTCCCATATGACACGCCGTAACTAATTGCGTCCTGTTCTCCAGCCGCTGATTCGTCTGCTTCAGCATTTTAATTAACGCTTGACCCTTTCGCGGGCCAAGACCGCAAACAAATTGAACGAGATTGCCGCAGTACGCTTGTTGAACTGCCTTGTTCACATCTACGCCGACCTCGTTCACGCGGTTGACGAACTCCAGATACAAATTTTCCAGTAACTCTTCTTTAGGTAGCTGATCCTGCAGACTATGATACCTGAGGCAGAGAATTTCCTCGTCCGCAGTACATAATTGCGAAAATTCTACTAGCGGATCCTGCATTCTTCTCGCCAGCGAAATAGCCTGGCGCAACAGTTCCGGATAATCCCGGAATTCCGAGATACCCTTGTTACTATTGGAATAGATCTTCGCAAGCTCATTGTCACAGATTTCTACCTGGATACTGGGAAATTGCTCCTCCCCCGTCAGATTGGTGATGCAATCCTTGATGTCGTCAGCGATCATGTTCGCTTCCCGGGACTCACCGGCTATCACTATAACGTGCGGCTTCTTCGTGGCTATGAAATTCTTCAAGGCTAGCAGGTCGGCCTCCTTCATAACCTTTTCATCCTCGCGATAACTGTTCTTGCGTTTCATCAGATGCGCCAGACGCAGGTAATCTGTACACTCGCCATCAGCTGCGACCAAACAGGTGAAGGCTGCCTGAGAATA